GCACTTTACATTTTTGACTCCTCACTCCACACTTTACATTTTTACATTTTACACTCCTCACTCCACACTTTACACTCCACACTCCACACTCTACACTTTCCACTCCACACTTCACACTCTGCACTTTCCAGTCCACACTTCACACTGTACACTCCATACTCTACACTTTACATTTTTCACTCCACACTTTACATTTTACACTCCTCACTCCACGCTTTACACTCCACACTCCACACTTCCCACTTTACACTCCACACTCTACACTTTACACTCAACACTTTACACTCCACACTCCTCACTTTACACTCCACACTCCACACTCTACAGTTTCCACTCCACACTCTACACTCTACACTCCTCACTTTACACTCCTCACTCCTCACTATATACTTTACACTCCACACTTTACAGTTTGCACTTTACACTCCTCACTTCACACTTTACACTCCACACTCTACACTTTACACTCTACACTTTACACTCTACACTCCACACTCCACACTTTACACTCCACGCTTTCCTCTCCACGCTTCACACTCCACACTTTACACTCCACACTTTTACGCTCCACAGTCTACACTTTACACTCCACACTCTACACTCCACACTCCACACTTTACCCACTGCACACTCCACACTCTACACTCCACACTCCACCTTTACACTCCACACTTCCCACTTTACACTCCACACTCTACACTTTACACTCCAGACTCCAGACTTTACACTCCACACTCCGCACTCTACACTTACACTCTACACTCCACACTCTACACTGTCCACTCCACACTGCAGACTGGTAACAGGGCAAGTGTTCAAATAAACTATTGCAGAAAATTGTTCTGAGTGACTGCATATCCGGCATATCCATTAACATACGTGTGAGCATTCGGGTTCGTGGGCTGCATCTTAGCCGTCCGCGCCATTCTCCGCACCCATTTGGCGTGCGCCTTCTTCTCCCCACCCATTTCCAGCCACTCCCTCGCACCCTCGCCGTCCGCAACCGTCCGCGCAATTCTCCCCACCCATTTGCCGTCCGGAGCCGTCCGCGCAGCCAAGCTCGCTCATCACCAGCGGCTTCTTCCCCCGACCCATTTCCAGCCAATCCGTTGCACCCAGCCGTCCGCGCAATTCTCCGCACCCATTTCCCGTCCGCAGCCGTCCTCGCTCATCACCAGCGCGATCCCCACCCATTTCCAGCCACTCCCTTGCACCCACGCCGTCCGCAGCCGTCCACGCAATTCTCCGCACCCATTTCCCGTCCGCAGCCTTCCGCGCAGCCAAGCTCGCTGATCTCCAGCGGCTTCTTCTCCCAACCCATTTCCAGCTACTCCTTGGCACCCACGCCGTCCGCAGCCGTCCACGCTATTCTCCCCACCCATTTGCCGTCCGCAGCCGTCCGCGCAGCCAAGCTCGCTCATCACCAGCGGCTTCTTCTCCCCACCCATTTCCAGCCACGCCGTTGCACCCACGCGTCCGCAGCCGTCCGCGCAGCTCTCCGCACCCATTTCCCGTCCGCAGCCGTCCGCGCAGCCAAGCTCGCTCATCACCAGCGGCTTCTTCTCCCCACCCATTTCCAGCCACTCCCTGGCACCCACGCCGTCCGCAGCCGTCCGCGCAGTTCTCCGCAGCCATTTCCCGTCCGCAGCCGTCCGCGCAGCCAAGCTTGCTCATCACCAGCGGCTTCTCCCCTTCCAGCCACTCCGTTGCACCCACGCCGTCCGCAGCCGTCCGCGCAATTCTCCGAACCCATTTCCCGTCCGCAGCCGTCCGCGCAGCCAATCTCGCTCATCCCCAGTGGCTTCTTCTCCCCACCCATTTCCCACGCCGTCCGCAACCGTCCGCGCAGTTCTCCGCACCCATTTCCCGTCCGCAGCCGTCCGCGCAGCCAAGCTTGCTCATCACCAGCGGCTTCTCCCCACCCATTTCCAGCCACTCCGTTGCACCCACGCCGACCGCAGCCGTCCGCGAAATTCTCCGAACCCATTTCCCGTCCGCAGCCGTCCGCGCAGCCAAGCTCGCTCAATCTCGCTCATCCCCAGCGGCTTCTTCTCCCGACCCATTCCCAGCCACTCCCTTGCACCCATGCCGTCCGCAGCCGTCCGCGCAATTCTCCCCATCCATTTGCCGTCCACAGCCGTCGCGCAGCCAAGCTCGCTCATCCCCAGCGGCTTCTTCTCACCGACCATTTCCAGCCACTCCCTTGCACCCACGCCGTCCGCAGCTGTCAGCGCAATTCTCCACACCCATTTGCCGTCCGCAGCCGTTCGCGCAATTCTCCGCAGCCATTTTCGTCCGCAGCCGTTCGTGCAGCCAAGCTCGCTCATCACCAGCGCCTTCTTCTCCCCACCCATTTCCAGCCACTTCCTTGCACCCACGCCGTCCGCAGCCGTCCGCGCAATTCTCCGAACCCATTTCCCGTCCGCAGCCGTCCGCGCAGCCAAGGTCGCTCATCACCAGCGGTTTCTTCTCCCCACCCATTTCCAGCCACTCCCTTGCACCCACGCCGTCCGCAGCCGTCCGCGCAGCCAACCTCGCTCATCACTAGTCACTAGTGGCTTCTTCCCCCCACACATTTCCAGCCACTCCCTTGCACCCACGCCGTCCGCAGCCGTCCGCGCAATTCTCCGCAGCCGTCCGCGCAGCCAAGCTCGCTCATCACCAGCGGCTTCTTCTCCCCACCCATTTCCAGCCACTCCGTTGCACCCACGCCGTCCGCAGCCGTCCACGCAGTTCTCCGCACCCATTTGCCGTCCGCGCAGCCAAGCTCGCTGATCTCCAGCGGCTTGTATACTTCCCACCCATGTCCAGCCACTCTTTTGCACCCAGGCCGTCCGCAGCCATCCGCGCAGTTCTCCGCAACCATTTCCCGTCCGCAGCCGTCCGCGCAGCCAAGGTCGCTCATCACCAGCGGCTTCTTCTCCCCACCCATTTCCAGCCACTCCGTTGCACCCACGCCGTCCGCAGCCGTCCACGCAGTTCTCCGCACCCATTTGCCGTCCGCAGCCGTCCGCGCAGCCAAGCTCGCTCATCACCAGGGGCTTCTTCTCCCCACCCATTTCCAGCCACTCCGTTGCACCCACGCCGTCCGCAGCCATCCGCGCAGTTCTCTGCACCCGCCGTCCGCAGCCGTCCGCGCAGCTAAGGTCGCTCATCACCAGCGGCTTCTTCTCCCACCCATTTCCAGCCACTCCGTTGCACCCACGCCGTCCGCAGCCATCCGCGCAGTTCTCCGCACCCATCCACGCAGTTCTCCGCACCCATTTGCCGTCCGCAGCCGTCCGCGCAGCTAAGGTCGCTCATCACCAGCGGCTTCTTCTCCCCACCCATTTCCAGCCACTCCGTTGCACCCACGCCGTCCGCAGCCGTCCACGCAGTTCTCCACACCCATTTGCCGTCCGTAGCCGTCCGCGCAGCCACGCTCGCTCATCACCAGCGGCTTCTTCTCCCCATCCATTTCCAGCCACGCCATTGCACTCGCGCCATCCACAACCGTCCGCGCAGTTCTCCGCACCCATTTGCCGTCCGCAGCCATCCGCGCAGCCAAGCTCGCTCATCACCAGCGGCTTCTTCTCCCCACCCATTTCCAGCCATTCCCTTGCACCCAGGCCGTCCGCAGCCGTCCGCTCCATTCCTTTCCCTTCCTTTCCCATCCTTTTCCGTTCCTTTCCCATCCTTTCCATTCCTTTCCCTTCCTTTCCCATCCTTTCCCTTCCTTTCCCTTCCTTTCCCTTCCTTTCCCTTCCTTTCCCTTCCTTTCCCTTCCTTTCCCTTTTCCTTCCTTTCCCTTCCTTTCCCTTCCTGTCCCTTCCTGTCCCTTCCTTTCCCTTCCTGTCCCTTCCTTTCCCATCTTTTCCCTTCCTTTCCCTTCTCCCCACCTATTTCCAGCCACTCCGTTGCACCCACGCCGTCCGCAGCCATCCGCGCAGTTCTCCGCACCCATTTGCCGTCCGCAGCCGTCCGCGCAGCCAAGGTCGCTCATCACCAGCGGCTTCTTCTCCCCACCCATTTCCAGCCACCCCCTTGCACTCACGCCGTCCGCAGCCGTCCGCGCAGTTCTCCGCACCCATTTGCCGTCCGCAGCCGTCCGCGCAGCCAAGGTCGCTCATCACCAGCGGCTTCTTCTCCCTACCCATTTCCAGCCACTCCGTTGCACCCACGCCGTCCGCAGCCGTCCACGCAGTTCTCCGCACCCATTTGCCGTCTGCAGCCGTCCGCTCCATTCCTTTCCCTTCCTTTCCCATCCTTTTCCGTTCCTTTCCCATCCTTTCCCTTCCTTTCCCTTCCTTTCCCATCCTTTTCCGTTCCTTTCCCATCCTTTCCCTTCCTTTCCCTTCCTTTCCCTTCCTTTCCCTTCCTTTCCCTTCCTTTCCCTTCCCTTTCCCATCCTTTCCCTTCCTTTCCCTTCCTGTCCCTTCCTTTCCCTTCCTGTCCCTTCCTTTCCCATCCTTTCCCTTCCTTTCCCGTCCTTTCCCATCCTTTCCCTTCCTTTCCCTTCCTTTCCCTTCCTTTCCCTTCCTTTCCCTTTCTTTCCCTTCCTTTCCCTTCCTTTTTCTTTCCTTTTTCCTTCCTTTCCCTTCCTTTTTCCTTCGTTTCCCTTCCTTTCCCTTCCTTTCCCTTCCTGTCCCTTCCTTTCCCTTCCTGTCCCTTCCTTTCCCTTCCTTTCCCTTCCTTTCCCTTCCTTTCCCTTCCTTTCCCTTCCTTTCCTTTCCTTTCCCTTCCTTTCCCTTCTTTTTCCTTCCTTTTTCCTTCCTTTCCCTTCCTTTCCTTTCGTTTCCCTTCCTTTTTCCTTCCTTTTCCCTTCCTTTCCCTTCCTTTCCCTTCGTTTCCCTTCCTTTCCCTTCCTTTCCCTTCCTTTCCCTCCTTTCCCTTCCTTTCCCTTCCTTTCCCTTCCTTTCCCTTCCTTTCCCTTCCTTTCCTTTCCTTTCCTTTCCTTTCCTTTCCCTTGCACCCACGCCGTCCGCACACCACCGTTCGAGCCAGGTCGCTCCCCCACGCGGTTAAACAACTAAACAAGAACCCAAGCATCGAAGATGCTTTTGGGAAAAAACAATTCTCGGGAGCTTTTGCGAACTCCAATTGTATCTTTTGCGAAGGCACAGTAACCCACTTTCTTCCTTGTGGGAAGGAACGGGTAGAAATGGGCAGCTGTCCTGCACCTGTTCGTTGAAGATCATTCGCGGCTCAAAGTGTAGGTGCCAATACGCCAAACTGCCCAGGTAGAAAGGCTCCTATGGAAATAATAAACGAATATAAACAAGGCACAGCAAAATGTGCAACATGAATTCAAATGATCGAACATGTATCAAGAATTATCAAAATGTCTTCTTCATTTTTTGAAACTTCCTGACTGATCTCACTGCAACTGTGAGGCCCACAAGTCCGTGGGCCGCTCCTCAGGTTCCAGTTGCCGCCCTCTGACAAACCTTCGGAAGTTGGCTGGAATGAAGTAGCTATCTGTTTCGACCTAGGCGGCAGAAAATTCACACTGCTTCAACTTTGGAACAGCTGCTTCCGTGCAAATTGGGGCCAAAACGGGTGAAATTGTAGAAACTAAGCAAACCTTGTAAACGCCAGTTTGCAAATGTTGTCCCGTCACTACTGCAAGAGCCAGGGCCAGTGTTTTAAGTTTGAAGTGAAGACATGAGCACCAGAATTTACTGGACAAAAAAAACCCATGGCACAAACCTGTGAAGAAAAAAACCATGTCATTCAATGTCATTCACACTTGTGGTTTTTCTCCGTGCGCGGAGGGCCAAGGCACTCGACATACCCAGTCTGTCAAACTGCCCATGTCACGGGCCAAATGGGCGAAGAGCAAAAGGTCCTTTTGATTGGCGCCAAACATCCTTAGAGGTTCCAGCAGGTTTGGGGCAGCTCTTGCAAACACATACGGCTTCCTAACTGACAGTCCACTTATGAATATGCAAGTGTATTTTTGCCCCGTTTGCCACTTCAGTTGGATGGCTTGGTTAAAGCAAATAATTCATGCGCTTGAATGCATGTCAAAAGTTTTGACAAGTGACAATTGCCTGCTTTTGATGCGCAGAATTCACGCGTGTTTAGCAAGGCATAGGTACGAACATACGTACATACATACATACGTACGTACGTACATACATACATACACATATATATATATATATGTATGTATGTATGTACGTACGTATGTATGTATGTATGTATGTATGTATGTATGTTTGTATATGATTCATGATCATTTCCCAATAGCAAAAGCTTGGGGTTGTTAACTCTAAAGGCGGACGGGCACCATCGGTTCGCGGCTGCCGTCCTGGGCAGGGTGTCCCGGTGTCTCGCTGGTGTCTCGGTGCGTTCTCGTTGTTGCCTTGGTGGTTTGGTGATGTCGGCGGTGTCTGGCAGCGGTGTCTCACTCGTGCCTTGGCGGTCGTGCCTTGGCGGTTGGGCCTTGGTAGTGTCTCAGTGGTGCCTTGTTTGTTTTGGTGACTCGGTGGTGTCGGTGGTGTCTAAATGGTGTCTCGGTCGTGCCTTGGCGTGGTGTCTCGGTGGTGTCTCAATGGTGCTTCACCAGAGGAGTTGACATACATGCTGCATTCTACGCTTGCACCCAGGCTCTCATGCACACGTATCAAAAGAAACGATATTAGCATAAAGAACAATCAGGAAAAAAGGAAATCATCCCGACAGGAGGAAGGGAAAGAACGAGGGAGGGAAGGAAGGAAGGAAGGACGGCAGGAGGAAAGAAACAAACGCCTAGCTTTTCGTATTATTTCCCACTGATTTCACTTTTATTTCCCCTTATTTCCCTATGGTTTCGGCACTATTGCCCAATGATGTCCCTATTATTTCCTGATTATTTCCCGATTATTTCCAAATTGCAAAATTATTTCCCAATTATTTCTTTTGTATGCCTGTATGCCCCTATGATTTTCCTGTTGTTTCCCAATTATTTCCGCATGGTTTCCCTGTGTTCCCAATTATTCCCTTATTATTTCCATATTGTTTGGTTCTCTATTTTTGTCTCAATTATTTCCCTATTATGTCCCTATTGTTTCACAGTTGTGTCCAAATTATGTTCCTATTACTTCACCACTATTTCCCTATTATGTCTGTATGGTTTCCCTTTTATTTCCTTATTGTTTCCCATTTAGTTCCCAATATTTTACCTATTATTGCCCGAATTATTTCTTATTATTTCCCGGTTATTTCCCCATTATCATCCTATTATTTAATTGTTTTGGTCTTAGACTTTACGTATTTTTCTTATATTTTGAGTTTACGTTATTTATTCTATCCTGATAAATTTGTTAATATTGCCTACTATGCATTATGTTTCCCCCTTGTAAACTGAATATGCTAATTGACCTCACCAAACAATAAATATTATGATCGTCCAAGTTCGCAACGGAAATACATGGATTTGACCTGCAAAAAAAAACGTTGAAACCAGCCAAAACCAATGGAAATCCCATCGGCACAGCCACAATTGCTAATCCGGTGAAGCTCAAATACACAATACTAAAAATTATACCTGATTTCTACACAGATTTGAGACCTGGATTCCGGGACCCGGAATCCGGGACCCGCATTCCCGGACCCGGAGTCCGGGACGAGAATCCAAATTTACGGCTGAACCCTGTAAAGACATGTTAAAGAATAAATACACGTAGATGTACATACAAAACCAGAAAGGATAGAAGAAAGAAACAAAAAAGACAGCCACGTGCAAATGTTTGGGACGTTTTTTTTCCGAATGGTGATTCGTTAGAACATGTTAGAACTGGTTAACAAGCCGCCTTTCTTCTTTTTTAACGCTACTGTAGCTAAAAAACAACCTAGAATAAAAGCACGCTTCTTCAGTGGTGTGCCCGCTTCGCTTAGCCGTTGGTGTCAAAACCACGCTATAATGTCAAATCCAGAAAACAACCACAGGCGATGTCACACTGGAGATTCAATATATATATATTATGGTTGCTGCATGCTACCGCTTGTACTGAATACTACTTTGTTCTTTTTTCCAACCTTTTCGATGCCGGCGAAATAAGAGATCACATGATATCAGCTGGCAAACAGATGTGATTGCAAACTGAGCTCAGCAACTATGAACTCACAGCGGCCTGACATTTGTGCGCTGCTGGTGCCCAAATCATATGTTGGAGGAGCTGCTTTAGAGGCCCTGAAGGGCGATGGGTTGATGGCTTGATGGGTTGATGGATGGATTCCCCAGCTGGTTTTCCGCGGTTCTAGGGGTTTGGCGACCCATTGGAGGGCTTCGCCAATTTAGCTGCATTGCTTCAAACATAAAAAGAGTCGATTCGACTGGATAGATGCATTGACGGGTTAGGATTTTCATGGGCAGCTTCATGAAAACCACCGGCTGGCGTTTCATTTGCCCAGCAAATTCATTTAAACCCATGTAAATCACCCAATCCAATTGTTTTTCATCAATTTCTTTATTATATACTATGGATTTTGCCGTAAATTTGGGGTGAATCCCCCATAGATGGAGCAATAGGTTCCAGTAGATAGATAATATAGATAGAAAGAAGGTAAGAAAGATAGGTAAACAGGCAGATAGATAGAACGATAGAAAGATAGAAAGAACCGTAGACAGGCAGATAGCTAGACAGATAGCTAGACAGATAGTCAGAAAGATTGACAGACAGATTGACAGACAGATTGACAGAAAGATAGATAGATAGATAGACAGATAGACAGATAGACAGATAGACAGACAGACAGACAAACAGATTTGATAGATAGGTAGATAGATAGGTAGATAGGTAGATAGATAGGTAGATAGATAGATAGAAAGATAGAATGATAGGCAGATAGACAGATAGATAGGCAGATAGATAACTAGACAGCTAGCTAGACAGATAGATGGGTAAGTAGACAGAAAAACCGATACAAACATCGACACTCTGACCACGGGTCTTTCTGTCATCCATGCTGACAGCAATCAACCTTTCCCAAACAATTTCCTATCTTGGAAACTTCCGCCATCGCCTTGCGCGGTACTACTGGTAGTTTATCAACATATTTAATCGCTTTGTGCTACGAGTGGCCCTGCCCTTGGGCCTCGTTTGGACCAGTTTTTTTGGTATCACATTGCCACATGCAACATATGCATGGCATCCAACCGCCTGGAAAGAATAACGTTCCCAGTAGTTGTCCAAAATGATCTGCTGATTGTAGCGCGCGTCGTTCCAGTGCAAATGGACACCCAAACAGCTTTCAAAGATGTAAGTCGTGCAAGTTCTTGGATAAAGCGTTTCCAATAGGAGAGACCATTTTGCATGGCGTTTACATGGTGTTTAGGGTCTCCCAGCGAACTTTGCAAGGACTTTCGCGTCTGGGTGCACCTTTCCGAATGGTAACCGCTGTAAGGGGCCAGCCTGGCTGATGAATCGGGCTGGTTACCATTTCCGAATACCAGTAGTACCGCACAAGGCGATGGCGGAAGTTTCCAAGATAGGAAACTGTTTAGGAAAGGTTGATTGCTGTCAGCGTGGGTGACAGAATGACCCATGGTCAGAGTGTCGATGTTTGTATCAGTTTTTCTGTCTACCTATCTATCTGTCTAGCTAGCTGTCTAGTTATCTATCTGCCTATCTATCTGTCTATCCACCTATGTTTCTATCTTTCTATCTATCTACCTATCTACATATCTATCAAATCTGTCTGTCTGTCTGCCTGTCTGTCTGTCTGTCTGTCTATCTGTCTATCTATCTATCTATCTATCTTCTTTTCTTTCTTTCTGTCAATCTTTCTGACTATCTGTCTAGCTATCTGTCTACCTATCTTTCTTACCTTCTTTCTATCTATATTATCTATCTACTGGAACCTATTGCTCCATCTATGGGGGATTCACCCCAAATTTACGGCAAAATCCATAGTATATAATAAAGAAATTGATGAAAAACAATTGGATTGGGTGATTTACATGGGTTTAAATGAATTTGCTGGGCAAATGAAACGCCAGCCGGTGGTTTTCATGAAGCTGCCCATGAAAATCCTAACCCGTCAATGCATCTATCCAGTCGAATCGACTCTTTTTATGTTTGAAGCAATGCAGCTAAATTGGCGAAGCCCTCCAATGGGTCGCCAAACCCCTAGAACCGCGGAAAACCAGCTGGGGAATCCATCCATCAACCCATCAAGCCATCAACCCATCGCCCTTCAGGGCCTCTAGAGCAGCTCCAACTGGCTCCAACATATGATTTGGGCACCAGCAGCGCACAAATGTCAGGCCGCTGTGAGTTCATAGTTGCTGAGCTCAGTTTGCAATCACATCTGTTTGCCAGCTGATATCATGTGATCTCTTATTTCGCCGGCATCGAAAAGGTTGGAAAAAAGAACAAAGTAGTATTCAGTACAAGCGGTAGCATGCAGCAACCATAATATATATATATTGAATCTCCAGTGTGACATCGCCTGTGGTTGTTTTCTGGATTTGACATTATAGCGTGGTTTTGACACCAACGGCTAAGCGAAGCGGGCACACCACTGAAGAAGCGTGCTTTTATTCTAGGTTGTTTTTTAGCTACAGTAGCGTTAAAAAAGAAAAAAGGCGGCTTGTTAACCAGTTCTAACATGTTCTAACGAATCACCATTCGGAAAAAAAAACCCAAACATTTGTACGTGGCTGTCTTTTTTGTTTCTTTCTTCTATCCTTTCTGGTTTTGTATTTACATCTACGTGTATTTATTCTTCAACATGTCTTTACATGGTTCAGCCGTGAATTTGGATTCTCGCATCCGGGTCCCGGGATCCGGGTCCCGGACTCGGTCTCAAATCTGTGTAGAAATCAGGTATAATTGTATTGTGTATTTGAGTTTCAGCGGATTAGCAATTGTGGCTGCGCCGA